ATTTCGAAACCTCATATTTCATTCAATTGAAGCGAAAATTATCAATTACTTTATACTCATATTATTGAGTTGAATATTATCGCTTGTATCTAATTATTCAGACATAAATGAGAAAGATCAATCTTAGATATGATATCATTCCTTTTAATGATTTATAATTATCTATAATAAAATACAATTTAAAAAATTTTTCTCTACATTTGATTGATTAGTATTATTTGAAAAAGGAGAAATATTTTGATTGACTCTAATAAATATAATTGATTTTATATTAGACATCAGTAATCTAACTATCAATAATAGTAAATACCAATGGGAAAATATAAAAATTAATCGGAAATCAAATAATTGAATTTGTTGAGAATTGTAAATCGATAGAACTTTAAATCCAAATCATAACTGACATTTCCTAAATTATAATTAACCAGTTGTCGCACAAAATCAATTCAGAAAATAATTGACATTGGCAGTATATAATACAAGATATTATCCTATATACGAAACTAAATAGAAAAGAAAAGAAAATGACTTTTCTTGACATGCTACAGATGTATATATATATATACATTGATCGAAGTTTACCAACTGACATTACTGTTATAACCAACTATAAACTAATATATGTGGTAAAAGTACAAAGTATCAATTATTGTATCTGTTTGTAATATCCTCTTTTTTTCTAGGAAATATTTTTTACTTATTTAATGCTATAATCTAACTATTCTGTGTTATAGTTATAAGAAAAAAAAAAGAAAATTTGATTATATTTATATTTTATTGAATTAAATATATAAATAAACAATTTTATATAGAATCAGATAATTGTTGATAAATAAGATAAATAAATCTAAGAATTGATAAGTACTTATAATTTAATCTGCTTCTGACAAATTAATAAATAATAATTAGATCCAAATGAAAATTTTCATTCCATACTAATCAACAACCTTACTAATAAATTTTCTTTATATTTTAAATTGTAACGATCATCATATAATGGTTTAATTGATCAATAAAGAATTGAATTATAACATTCAATATTATCATCATTTTTGCATAGAATACGATATCATTCATAGCTACTATAACCTTGGTTCGTAACATATATAAAAACATAATCATTCGAATAATTAAATATCATTTGTTTACTAACATAGCCTTGAACACAAGGCTCAAAACTCGAAGTCGATTCACCTCTAACTATATTGCTGCAAATAAGGATATATTCATTTATAAGACGATTTATTACTTGGTGATTTACTTCTGTGGATACTCATCCATCACTATTTTTACCATTAATCTTTCAATTATGAGAATAAGTTAAGAAAAAAATGAACCACAAGATCCGAAACGAAGATATATTGATTCGTTTACACTATATGTTATCATGCATTATGAAAATAATTGATTAAATGAAATGTACAATAACATTACATCTATTTCATTTTTTTTAGTTAGTTTTTGCTTACAGTTTTGATTGAGATAACCAAAATCATGGCAAGTAACAAAACTTACTGGACACACGCAAATTCTTTCGATGTTTTATATAAAAGAAAAAAAAGCAGTCGGAAGCTAATTATGTATTTCATTTTTTGACTTTCTTTTGATTCAATGAATCAATATAATAAAATCAATCTTTTTAATTAATTCTTATTAAAATCAAACAAAAAACAAAATAAAAGTTATCGAAAGATGACGCTATATATCAATGATTATTTTGTTGATACATTCATCAACACATAATTATGGCAGTCGGATCAACCAACCGAAGAAATGTCAAAACGGGTCAACAACATCTACTATAGATTTGTATTACATCCATTAGGTTGTGTACATTGAATATTAACAGTTTCAATAAATTTAATTTTTGACAAAAAAATAAATAAATAAGAAACTTAACGTATGTAAATAAGATTATATATTATTTGTAGATCTCTCAATGACAATGATTGATGGAATTCAACCATCTTTATCAGCGTCAACTAATCGAAATATATATAAATAATATTAAAATCAATGTCGAAAGCATATAATTTCGATTGGCAAATTGAAGTATCACCTCGTCTACTTAAAGGTGATATTTTTGATCGCTGGGATGAAGAAAATGCAACATTAGAACAAAATTGTTTATTTCGTGTTGATAGTTATGGATTTTTTATTTATTGGCAAAGCGAAGGACGTGATGGACAAGTTATTGAATTATCACAAGTTAGTGATATACGACCAGGAAAAGGTATTTGATTTTAGAAATTTTACATTCTTTAGTTTTCGACCTTTTGTGTATTTATTTATTTCAGCTCCATCTGATCAGAAGATTGGTGCTGATCTTATGGCTAGTGCACTTATGTATGGTCGAGGTAATATTGATGAACGAACAGTAACTATCTGTAGTGGTATTGATTTTGTACAAATAAGTCATACAAATATAACCGGTGCCGATCCAACTACAGCAAAAGTAACAGTTCAAAAACAAAAGAAACATATTTCAATATAAATTTTTCTTTTTTTCTCTTAGGCATGGATTGAAGGTTTAAGGAAAATAACGCATAATCATAAAGCAAATAACATCTGTCCTACAACAATATTACGAAAACAGTAAGAATTTAATGAAGAATCATATTTTAATTAATAATGACTTTATTTTTCAGTTGGATGAAATTATCATTTATGTTAAATGATAATCAAAAAATTCCTGTCCGAAGGTAAGATAATCATATTCAAGAGATCATTGATTGTGATATCTTTGTTTTGGTTTTTTTTAGTATTAGTAAAACATTTGCATCTGGTAAAACAGAAAAGCGTATATTTGAAATTTTAAAAGAACTTGGTTTACCAAGTGGAAAAGTAAAATCATCGATACAAAGAAAAGTTCTTCTTACTTGTTTTTTTTTCTCTCTCCCTCTAAAATTAGAATGATGAAATCGATCCAACGGATTTTACATTTGAAAAATTTTGTGATCTTTATCATAAAATTTGTCCACGTACTGATATAGCGGTATTATTTGATGAATTATCAGGTGGTAAAGATTATATAACAACAAAACAATTTGTTGATTGGCTTAATGAAACACAACGTGATCCACGTTTAAATGAAATACTTTTTCCATTTTATGATACTAACAGTGCATTACGTATTATTGATCGATATGAATTACGTGCTAATTATAGAGATCGTGGTCATTTATCATGTGATGGTTTAACACGATATTTAATGTCGGATGAAAATGCACCAGTTTTTCTTGATCGATTAGAAGTTTATCATGATATGGAACAACCTTTATGTCATTATTTAATAAATTCATCACATAATACATATTTACAAGGACGACAATTTGGTGGTCGATCATCCGTTGAAATGTATAGACAAGTTTTATTAGCTGGATGTCGATGTATTGAATTAGACTGTTGGGATGGTAAAAATGATTCCGAACCAATAATAACACATGGTAAAGCAATGTGCTCAGATATTAATTTTAAAGAAGTTATTTTTGCTATACGAGATACAGCATTTGTAACAAGTGATTATCCAGTTATACTTTCATTTGAAAATCATTGTTCAAGACAACAACAATTTAAATTAGCACAATATTGTGAAGAAATACTTGGTGATTTTTTATTAACAAAGCCATTAGATAGTCATCCAGTAAGTAAAAAATATTTTTTGAATTAGATATTTCTTTTTTTATTTTAATTTTAATTATTAGAATGATAGAAAAAGAAAAGAGTAATTTGTTGAAATGAAATTTTTTCCTTTTTTGTGTCCAATTTTTCTTTTTTTTTGATAAACTAATTGTGTTTTCATTCTTTTCGGCTTATTTCACTTAATTTGATTGAGTTTAATATGATAAATAATTTATTTATTTACTCTTGTTTTTTTTCATGAATTTTAGCTTGAACCTGGTGTGCCTTTACCAGCGCCGAATTTATTAAAAAGAAAAATTCTTATTAAAAATAAAAGATTAAAACCAGAAGTTGAAAAACGTAATATTCAATTTATTAGTTATCACTATTATTTAATCTTGCTGTTTTTTTTTTCTATAGATCAACTTGATTTATTTCTCGAAGGTTTCGATAGTGAAATAAATAATGAAAATGATTTAGACTCAGCAGCTAATGTTGAAGGTGAAGATGGTCCAGCTACATATGTTGATAATCTTAAATTACGTGATGATGATGATGAAGCTCATCCTGAATTAAATGTTGATATAAATGATGATACTAATCGACGTACACTACTTAGTCAAATAATGAAACTCAAAGGATCAGCAAATCTATCACGTGAAGAAGAAGAAGCATTTTATAATGGTTATCAACATAAAGGTGCAACAACAAATATTCATCCATTATTATCATCACGTGTTAATTATACACAACCAATAAAATTTCCTGGTTTTGCTAAAGCTGAAGAACGTAATATACATTATCATATGTCATCATTTTCAGAAAATGTTGCTTTACAACATTTAAAACAAAATCCAATTGAATTTGTTAATTATAATAAACGACAATTATCCCGAGTTTATCCTAAAGGTGGACGTGTTGATTCATCAAATTATATGCCACAAATTTTTTGGAATGCTGGTTGTCAAATGGTTTCATTAAATTTTCAAACACCCGATCTTCCAATGCAATTAAATTTAGGAAAATTTGAATATAATGGAAACTGTGGGTAAGTTATAGAATCAAATTTCATCATATGGAAAACATTATATCTAATTAGTCTTTCGGATATATATATATATATATGTATACGTTGAGAGAGAAAGAGAAAAACGAACAGGTGGTAAATGTTCTATAAAATATTTTTATTGTCTTATTTTGAAGGTCATATATTCTATCCATCTGTTTATTGTTAATATACTGACATATTAATGGAAATAGCGACTAATCTACTTGTCTCATTTATTTACAAAGAGTTAAAAAAAAGAAAAGAGGAAAAAAGAAGAAGACGAAGAAGAAAAAACAAAATAAGATAAAAAAAGAACAGAATAAAATAACATTTAGCTTGAAGCAGTATTTGTATTTACCATAGATTGCATTTCTTTTTGATGCTGTGCACTAATAATAGCTATTGCTTGTGTCCATTGGTCTTGTATAGACATAGACGAATTCATTATGATTGGCACTGAGGGTGATGATGGACAAAATATATTGTTTTCTATAAGTGTTTCTAATTTTGCATAGATGACATTTTTCGATGCTACATAAGATGATGTAACATGATTTGTTGTAATAACACAAAATTGTCCTTGAAGACATTCATTCATAACATGTGAACATGTCATTAAATTTGCTAATTGAAGACTTACTTCGTATGTACCACGTAGTTTTGTTTCTGTATGAATACCAATACAATCAAGTCAACATCGTGGATGTTGAGAATTATTGAATGGTACAAATATAAATTCAATTTTCGATAAATCATTTTCATCAATTAATAACATTGTATTTATATTACCATTAAAACCAATATAAAATGATAAATTTTAAAAATGAATAACAATCAGTTGGATTAAGTAAAACTTTTGAATATTTATAAAAATGACTTAACCGATTAATTATATTCATATTTAAATTTTCTTCTGTTATATTTCTCAATGTACTCTTTTGACCTTGTAATGTTAAATAATTTAATAGTTTTAATGCTCGACCTGGTTTTCTCATTATAAATTGTCGTTTTGATGCTATTTCTAGTAAATCTTCGAAAGTTGTAACAGATGATAATTCTTTATTATCCGAATGATAAACAAGAACATAAATACATTTATATATGGGCATACCATAGTATTTTCCATTATCACATTCTATTAATGATAAGACATTACGATCGATTTTTATAAGCATATGTTATTTCATTTTGATCAAGAGTATATAACCACCCTTGCGATATAAAACAATGTATAAACATAGTATCATTGATGAAGATATCAAAATGATTCTGCCGAGTTTTATGATAATCTCCATCCCATTCCTCTTCTGCTGGCTAATTCAAATAGATATCTCTATTATCAAGAACATTATACCAATAATGTTCAATAACTAGACGATATTGTTGTAAATGCTTTTTGGCTGCCACGGATATACCGCTATATTTAGTGTCATCTAGGCAAATATTTAGGCAAAAGAAAAAAAAAATCTCGTTTTCTGTTTTGTTTTTAGAGAAACTCATATTCCTTACAATTGTTGGCCTACGAGGAAAGCTATATGGTGATGATAATATTTGTGTTTCATTATTTTGTTGTGACTTGTTTTGATCTTGCATAATTTATTGATGCTGTTGTTAGAATAGTGAATGAGATGACATGAAAATATTAGTACAAATGCGCACAAAAAGGCGAACAGAAATATTGACGAAAACATTTTTTTTTCTAAATATTGATTTTGACACAAATATCATGTGATATTTTAAGAGCATAGTTTCCTTGTTTCTTTTTTTGCTCTTTTTCAAAGATATTTATGGTGACTGACAATTTTAATAATCGAACCTAATAATCATCTTATTTCCATAAGAAAAAGAAACTCTTTGCAAGAAAAAAAAAATCTAATTCTAAAGAAAAATGATTGATCAATTATATTATACTATTGACATATTCGTTGTGAGTATAGAATCACTCGACTATTGTAATAAAATTAAGGAAAAGAAATAACATGAAAGATGTCGATATATACTGAAATAGACAATAAAAACTAATGCTTTTTTTTATTATTCTAATTTAGTTATCTATTAAAACCAGATTTTATGCGTCGACCTGATCGTACATTTGATCCCTATGCTGAAAGTCCAGTAGATGGTGTTATAGCTGCATTTTGTAGTGTACGTGTTATATCAGGTCAATTTTTATCCGATAAAAAAATCGGTACCTATGTCGAAGTTGATATGTATGGTTTACCAGCTGATACAATTCGTAAAGAATATCGTACTAAAACGATTCCAGCCAATGGTCTCAATCCAAAATATGATGAAAGTGTTTTTGAGTTTCGAAAAGTAAACAAAACAAAAAAATAAAACAAAAACAAAAAAAAAATTTTTCTTTGTTCAATATAAATTTAGATTGTTCTTCCGGATTTAGCTATTTTACGTATTGCTGTTTATGAAGAAACAGGAAAACTTATAGGACAACGTGTTTTACCGCTAGATGGTTTACAAGCAGGTTATCGACATATATCATTGCGTACAGAAGGAAATTTTCCATTATCATTACCAACAATATTTTGTCAAATTATTCTAAAATCTTATGTGCCTGATGGTCTAAGTGCATTTGTTGATCAATTAAATAAACCATTATTAATAAAACGAACTGAAGAATTACTGTATGCAACTTCTAATAATTCTTTTGATAGTTGTTCAACATCAACTAATTCATCTGTACGACGATCGCGTATACATGATTTAAATTCATCATCAACTGCTTCAATAGATACAAGAGCAACAATAATAACTGTTCCTAGTACTACTTCAATAAGTACATTATTAACCACTGATACAAATAATCTTACGGCAACATCATCACTTAAATCAAAAACCTCAATTGAAACAACTATTCCAATAACATTAGACTATTTACGTGAACATAAAAATTATTGTAAATTAAAAACTAAACAAGATAAAGAATTAGCTTTAATGAAGAAAAAACATGCAAAAGAACAAAATTTACTTTGTGAACAACAATCGAAAATAATGAGTAAAGCAAAAAATGATTATGAAAAAATTACACGATCGCCAATGATACAAGGTGGAAATTCAAAAAAAGAATTAAGGTAAAACAATAATAACCACAACACAAAGATCAATTGAATAATCTTTTTTTTTTTCTAATTAATTTAAAACAAAAATAAAACATTTTCTTTTTTCTTCTGGCTTCTTAAGCATTTTTTCACATCGCTTATTTAAATTCTTGATACTAAGGTATTGTTTAATTTGCTCAACAAATAGATACTAATCTTACTAATACATGTTTTGTTTTAAATCTTTTTTCACCTTTCAATAATATTCTTTTCTTTTTTCAAGTAATGGTGGTAGTTCAGGTGAAGGAAAAGCTGATCCCAGGGTAAATAAATAAGATTTCTTTTTTTCTTTTTGATTTCAAAATAATATATTTTTTTTCTTTATTAGTTAATGGATTTAATTAATGAACAAAATGTTGAATGGACATCACTTGTACAAAGACAATTAACAGAATTAAATGTAATTCGTCGACAACATACTAAAGAACAATGTGATTTATTACTTTTTTTACTTGATGAAACACAAAAAACACAAATGAAAGAAATAATTGAAAGACATTCAAGGTATAAACAAAGAAAACAAAAATTTTTATTTTCTAAAAAAAAAGTAAACTTTTTGTTGTTTTCTAGAGAAAAGAAAGATCTTGAATTAAGCCAAGTACGACAAAATATTGAAGATAGTAAACGACTTGGTTCAGAAAAAAATATTAGAAATAAATCAGATTTAGATCGTCGAGTACGTGAATTAAAATCAAATAATACAAAAAAATTTTTAGAAGAACGAAAAAGACAAATGATGAAACATGATCGAGAAAAAGAAAATTTAATTAAATCACATGAAATACAAAAAACAACTCTTACAAATGAAATTAATAAGGTATAGAATAATTTCTTTTGTTTTTTGTTCCTTCTCATCTAAATTAAATACATAAATTTTATTTAAAAACATTTCTAATACGATCACTAATTGACTATGAAAATCTTCAAGATTTATTTTCGATTCTCTAGATAGTAACTAAGTAATTGATAGAAATTCTTGTCAAATAATAAAAGTTCAATGACTCGAATCAAGGTCACACAAGCTAATAACAGAATCTTTGACTTTGTGAAATGATTAAACAAAAAATAAGGCGATCTATTCTTCGGAAATTACATCAAAAGAAGGGGAAGAAGAAAAAAAAGCTGTTAGCACAATCTCTACGGGATTAAAATGTGCAACATGATAGAGCGATTGACATTGTAATAGAAAACATTCATCAACATATGTTTCAGTTTATGAATTGCTACCTACTGGTAATGCATGTCGACGATAAAAGATATTAATCGCAATTTATTATAATCAATATGAAAAACAAAAGAGCAAAGAACAATTTTACTAAATTCAATCGTAGTTCATATTAATCTCACAAGAGACTTTGACGTCACGGGCATGTCTGTTGTAATCCGTGAGGAATAAACGGCAATACTAAATTATCTGTCACGCTTTGTGACAGAACCGAGGCGTTTTCAAGCCATCTGTCAAGAATTGTGATAAGGAGACGAGAAATTTAAGACATATGTCACGTCTATGAGGGAGGGATGCATGCCCACATTTCTATCTTTATACTTCAACACTTCTCTTAGATCTAATTTTTATCAAATTAATGAAAACACAATTTCTTGATCCGTATAAAAATTATCTATTGTCTAGATAAAAAAAAAAATAAGTATTAGTATCTAGTTTGATAACCTAGATTCTATTATGAAAACATAGCTAAAGGCATCAAAATACATCAACTTGTTTTCTAGGACTGAAATTGATGAAACTTATCTTCTACATTAATATCCATACAACAATATTTTGACTATTTGTAATCCTAACTACGAATTATACGATCTCTAAAAATAGACACATTAATAGTTTACTCTAACAACATGAAAATATGAACAAAAAAAGAAAACAAAAAGTTAATTTATTATTTATTTCTTATATAGATGCTTGAATACAGTATCAATTATCAAGATGAATCACCAATGGCTCGATTTCCATCATCGTCTGTATGATAATTCTTAACAGTCACAAAAAACTATTCAATTTCTAGTGATTATTAAATCACCTTTCACTGATATATCTAATTTTAATTTGTACATTACTTGCTTCTGAATTACGTTGTTCCTTAAATTTCTTCGGTGACTTGTTCTCTTCGGTGTTGTCTTCTTATTTTTATTTTTTCTCCAAACAGTGTGCTTGTAATGTATACGCACATTATATATATATATATTTATTTATTTATTTTTATCTTTGGTGGTGGATTATTTCTACTAATACTTGTGAGCTGACAAATCAAAATAGTCACTTTGATAGTCAAACAATATCGGTCTCTTTCTCATTTCTCATGTGCCTCTACTTTGTTTTCTTTCTTTCTTTAAATCTCTAGTCTATTATTTAACGAAAACGATCTGAACACAGTCAATTGGTAACCTAATTAAAATACAAAACAAACAAAAAAAAAAAAGACTTTTCTCGTGTATATGTGTTGCATTCCTTCTAATGTGCTACCGAGTTATAAAAATTTATAAGAAAAATTAAAGAGACACATATACAATATATTAATTAGTGGGATGATATTTTTTTTTTTTCTTTTTTCTTATGTGTGGAATACAGTTGTTCATATTTATACGACCAAAATATTTTATGTGTATGTTAACGAACTTCTTTTTTTCTTTTCTTTGTGTCATTTTTCCGCTTCTCTTACACCTATCTTTTCAATAAAAATTTTTATGAGTAGCAAATAAAGAATAAATCTTCTTAAGCGAAACTTTAGAAAATCCTAATAAATTTTTGTAGATGGATGCGAAATTTTCACGTTTACAAAATTTTGTTAATGAATCTAATAGTAATAATAATGATAATATTCAATCATGGTCTCGAGCAATCTTTTCACGAGATTTATTTCAAACAAATATAGATCGTGTACAAACTTTTTTTAATAAGCGTTCAGTTGGTTCATTAACATCATCATCATCAAGTACAGATGATATACAAATATTATTACAAAAAGGTGACAATGATCCTATCTTACCAGCATTGGTAAGATTATATTTTCGTTTTGAAGACTCTTTTATTGTTAAATAATATAGTTTTTTTTTTGTAAATAAAAAACAGATACTAGTAAGCTTGTGTCGTATTTCAAGCATATCAAAAGATTCTAAAACTGTATCAACAGATGTGTGGAATCAAGTATTTTGGCCCTAGAAATTCTTTTGCATCTGTTCCGATCATAGTCTCAGTAAATTTGATCTAGTCCTGATATCAGACTGGTTCTAGTAACTTCTTTTCTAGTGATTCTGGTCATAGTGTCGGTAAATCTAATCTAATCTGATCTCGATTTCGATCTAGAGAAAATGATTTCAAAATTTATTCGGTAACTAGCACTTTTTTCGGTCATCTCTCTTGAATTATGTTATAATTGATATGATTTATAGGATAATTCGCTGAAGACCGTAGAATGTTGAACTATAATCTTTGTTTCCCGTTAGGACCAAGAGGAAACAAATTGATTTCTATGCTAGGAACCACCTTAATATCTTAAAGATAAAGATGATGACTGGAAGTGGTCAAATATTATTGGAAAGCATGAGAAACCGATGGAAATCACTGTAAATCATAGAAAATACTCATTAATAAAATTAAAAGTATAGCCTGATTTCTAATGATTTTTAATGATACTCTTGATTTTCAATAATTGCCAGTATTTTTCGTGATTTGCCTTCATTTCGAAGTATTTCCGATGATTCCTATTGATTCATGATGAACAGATAAAAGCTGATTTCCAGTAGGAGAAATCATTAGAGATCACCGAAAATCAGAAAAAATCATTAGAAATGAAGAGATCAGTTTGTTTCCCCCTCGTTAGAATAACTTGTTTTTCATGGTCTCAGTCCCGACACATCTTCAAATTTTGGTCTGCACATCTCTAGTGGAAACCAAAAAAACTCTAGCCATACACTTTTCTATTCATTCCTTCGTTATCATTTAAACGTTCAATTTGTTTAATATATATATATATGTCAATGCTTTAACTGATAATTCATTTATGTATGTATGTGCATTTTCATTATATGCTAGATAAGTCCTATCAGTGTTATTATTATTATTATTATTGATCATTTAGAGTCGTAAACAACGTATTTTGGGTTTTATGATGTGCCTTGTTATGGGTATATTTTGTATGTCAATGGCTACATTGTATATTTCAGTAATTGTAATCAAAGCACGAAAATTTGCTTTACTATTTTCATTTGGTAGTCTTTTTTTTCTTTCAAGGTATGAACATATTCTTCGAAATATAGAGCCATTGCATAATGTTGTTTTTTTTTTTTAGTTTTTCAATGTTATGGGGACCAACAAATCATTTCAAACATTTAACAAATATTGATCGTCTCCCATTTTCTATATCATATATAATTACTCTTATTTGTACAATATATTATTCAGTATGGGTAAATATTTTTGCGATCGTTTTTTTTTTTGGCAAGATGTCACCAGCCATCGTTACGATTTGCCAACGTCTATTCACCGCATTTTTTCTATATTTTCATTTCACTATAAAAGAAAAGTTATGTTAGATAAAAGTCTGTGTCGTAGAAAAGGAGAGACGGTTAGCACTCCCCTTGACAAGGACGGAAGGTCGTCGGACCTATACGAACACACCAGGCAAGGCATGACGGCTAGCACCCGTCACCTGGCTCGTTTTTTGTTTTGTTTTAGGTCAAAAGTTATTTCTTCACAATGATTTTTGTTCTGTTACAAATTGGTGCTCTCATCTGGTAAATAATTATTTTAATTTAATATAATCTAATATTTCGTTTAGGTATATTGTTTCATATATCCCTGGTGGTGCACATGGTCTGAAATTTTTCTCAAAACTTTTTTATATGTTTGTTTCAAAAACTGTTACAACAACATTGCCAGTTTAAAATTAAACGAGTATTTTTGTTTGTATTATTGTAAAAAAAAGAAAAGAATTTTTTTTGTTGTTGTTATTATATTGTTATTATTGATATTACTGATTCTCAATATGCTAAAAAAAACGAAAAGAATTGTTGTGAAAAATGTATTGTTTGTTTGTTTGTTTGTTTTAAAGATATGCTCATTAGATCTATTCTTCCGAAAACAAATTCGAATAGTCAATTTACTATTTCAATTCGAACATTTAAACGTTTTGGTGAATATGTTAAAGGTTATGGTCATGAACCAAAATATTATCAAGGAGGTAGATCAACTTTTTCTGTTATGTCTTACAGTAAAATTACAAGCTGCTTCTTTTCTTTTAGGCTATCTTCCAAGAGCAGTTCATCTAAAAGATCCACCTAGTTATTTACCACCATTTATTGATCCACAAGAATGGACTTTGGAAGCAGCTACTTTCGGACAAAATGATTATATTGGTAAGTAGAGTTCTACTAATGATGTTCATTTTAAGACCTCAAGTATACCGACATATATTATTTTTTAATATATTGACTAGATTTAGATAACATAATTGTAGAAATAATGGTATGAAATTTAATAAAAGTTCCTTAGAATTCCTAGACATATCCAAAGACATATGGCTGTCATGACTGAGTGGCTACACTGCTTGACACCTATCAAATAGGTACTGCGTTCAGACAGCGGTGCTGTCAGCCATAGAATGACGCTGAACAAGTCAGAAATAGCTGTTTATCTCAGATCACTCGTTGAATATCATAATGAATAAATTGTGGCATGCACCTGCTGTTGTGACTCGTATATGATTAGTCATTGTGAATGGAGAGCTCAAGTGTTTGAGCGCAAAAAATTTGTGTCAGATCAACCTTCTATCTAGCGCTACAAATAGTGTATAGTTGTATGGAAGATATCAAGCTAATGAGTCTGTCGCTAAGCAGCACCCAATACCACAAGGTAGCCGAAAAGTAGGGGTAGTCTTCCTTCCAAAAACATTTGAATCTGATATTTTGTTTGAAAATGCTGATTTTATGAAAACGAAAATATTCTACTAATTCTATCCTGCAATATTCAAGATTTCTCTTTCTAAGGTTTATCAAAACTGTAATTTTGATTTTGATTTAAAATGAAATAAATGAGAATGTTCATTTTTCAAAAGTATCACTTTCTTTTGATTGACAATTGCCATTTGTTATACAGGGTGGGTCATAAATAGCACTACGATTAAAAAAAATAAAATATTTCTGCATCAATTCAATCAAATGTGTTGTTATTCATACGGATTAACTAAGCGAATATTACTATAAATGTTGAATTTCATAGATTATTTTCAGTTTTCATCTACGAGAATAATAATAAGAAATCCAAACGAACTATATTAATACATATAGAGCAGACTTTCAGAACTGATATGTTTAAAAGTCAATGGTTGAAAAATTTCATATTTTCAAACATAGAACACCGTCTTTTGCAAGGAATTTAGTACTCAATAGGAGCTGTAGTAATGCGTTTTACTTGTAAAACGCAAATATTAGCATTTAAACTGATTATTAGCTTTGAAAAATTACTCTGTGTGCATCAATATAGTTCGTTTTGACTTGTTCTTATTATTCTCATCGATGACAACTGAATATTATCTATGAAACAATTCATATGTATTTTTCTTACTTGACAATAGGCAAAATTTGTTTAGTGTTGCCAAAAATAGAACTTGATAGTATTATTTGTTTACATCATTCATATGAAAAAGCTTTAAATAAGCTTCTACCACTAACCAAAAAACGTCAACCCATTCAAGGGAACCGAAGCGAAAATATTTCAATTTTTATTTTAGTGCTATTGGTGATTCACTGTGTATACTATCAAAGAATGAATAAACTTCAATAGACACTCTCAATAGGTCGTATATAATTTGAATAGAAATGTCAAAGAATCATTCAAGAGATCTTATAGTCTGAGATAGAATCGGTTCGAGCCTTTTTGAAAACTATTCAGGTCGATTCGCTTCGAAAAAAAGCACGATCTGATCTCATATGTGCTTCCAACTATATGCTAGATAAATGTAAGAATAATTTGTTTTTATTAACTTAACTATAGACATTCTTGGCGATGAAAATGTTGAACATTGGCAATTAGTTCGTAATGCTCCATTTTGGTTACGTGGTTTTCAAGGTAATGAATTACAACATTTATTACGTCGATTAAAATTTCAAGGTAAACATTTGGAAGAAAATCAACCACAACGTTATTCAGATTTAATAACACGTATACGTTATCTTATGTTTAAAATTAATTTTAAACATTATAAACGACCATGGCTTATACGTCCAACGGTTGGTCCAAATGAACCTTTGCCAGAATATTATGATCCACGTTCTAGTTAAAAAACAAACTAACAATAACTAATTTGATTTGTTTTTTTTTTGTTTTGTTTATTATGATTAGAATAAAAGCGAAAAAAATAACACGATGCTCTTAAAATTTTTTTAATTTTCCTCTTGATTTTGTTGTACGTGGTGGATCAATAACGACAGGTCGTTGAATATAATGACAATATGTATCAAGTTCAGGTAAGCTTTTCCAATCATAATATTTTTTTATATCAGCCTGTGTTCCATTCATTTGAAATACTTTTCGTACATCATGTAAACTTGTAAAATATTGAAAACCATATCCTAATGAATCAAGCATTGATTGAATAAACATACGTACTGGACGTATATGAGGATTTGATCGATCGGTCCATTCAATATTCCATTTCTCTGCTAATATGAATGTATCATCAATAAGCATTTTTCGAAGAACTTTTACTTCAGCTCCTGGTATACTTATTTTAATATTTAATTTAGTATTATTTGATATAATTAAACGAGAAAGCCACAATGAAAAATCAATCGCATCTAACATTAGTAAATGACTTTGATCTGAAGAAGAAGAAAAGCACATCCACAGTTACTTTGTTTTTTTTTTCTATTGAATAAATACTAACTAGTGTTACTTAGATCTATTCGACTTCTTTGTCCACGATTAATTTGAAAAGGAACTTTTTCATTACGTATCCAAGCAGCTTTAGATATTATAGTTATGTTATAATTTTGATATTTTTGTTGTTTTAATTGTTTTGTACATAATTCATAATTAGCTGGATCAGGTTCAAATGTAATTATATCATATAATGAACTATTTGGAGTAAAATGAATAAAATGTTCAACAGTTTCACCATTAAAACAACCAATATCAATATAAATATAATGAGTTGATTCATTATAAGTTTTAAGAATTAAAGTTTTATTTTTATCATAATTTTTTAACACATTGAAATAGTCTGATGTGGACAGGGATTTAAATAATATTATTGTAGAAAATATCATAAAAATAAGTATGAAAATGAGTGTAAGACTAAGTCGATAAAAAGAATAACGTCGTCGAAGTTTTCTGGGTTTTTTTGTACATAAGCCCAAAATAAAAAACATTGTTCTTGATGTTTGATATATTAATGTGAAATTAATTGTCCCGAAAAAAAATATTATCTAGTGAAGAATAATATTGAACCGGTGACTGTAATTATTGAAATAAGATGACATTAAATTATTACTTTAATTTACATGTGACTTGGTGAAAGCCATAGGTAAGAACATGTGCCCTTGTTTGCTTTTTCCTTTCTCCTATTGATACTGATGTCTTTTGCAATTTTTTCAGTTACGCATCATTGAAAGATACGAATAGGCGCATGCACAGGGGAAAGATATTCAAGAAAAAAAAAACGACGCAGTCGCGGAAGAAGATTGTTATGTTGTCATTACATATTCTTATTCACACTAAGTGAAAAATGTCATTCTATTCAACATATTATTTTTTTCTTCTCAAAGAGTACATATTCCTGAGTATGTCTCTATAAGGAAGATAGAAGGTGCATTAATTCGTATGTAAGCATGTTTTTCTTTTCATTCGTTTATTAAAACAAAAAAGAAAACGACATATTTTTATTATTTTTTCTGTTGTGCTTTTTTCCATTCATACCTAAATATCTCTTGATTACGTTGGTTTTGATTGTTTTATTCAGTTTATTATATATATAAAAACCTCAGAAATTTCTTGTTTTGATATCATTGAACAGAGTATCAATTACTTTATCAAATCGTGTAAGTTTCATTTTGTTGACTTTGAATTTAATCCCAAAACAATTTGATAAATTTCGAAAAGTGACGAAAACAAAAAGATTTTCTTCTTCAATCACTTTCCGACTATTTTTGAAGTTGGTTGTTCTTTTCGGTCATATAAAATACAGCAAACTGAACAAAACTATCACAAATAATATAATCAAGTTGCATTTGATAATGATGTATTCTGTCTAATTAAAATAATATTCCAAATATCATAGAATTCCAATGGATCATCACGCATTCCAATATGTAAGTTTGACATACATATTAATAAATGAGGTTTATCTTCAAAAAATAAATCACACGAAATTTGATTATAAAATGTATAAGCATATTCAAGATGTGGAAAATCATAAAATGGTATTCCTGCTAAATCACGTAAAATGCCAGTTATATAAGCATCACCTATGCGTATTACTTGATGATTTGGATGATTAGCTGCATCTATTAAACGTTGACATGATGTATTTGAAAATAGATAACCTACACCAAATGTATATGGAGGATATATTGTTGGTTTATATTCAGCTTTTGTTACAGCCCATTTATCTGCACGATGAACTGTATTATTAAAACGAAACCATCCATATAAACCATCTTCAGTATTTATATTTAAATCATTGGTAATATAATCTAGTAATAAAAATGTATCCAATAATATGTCATCATCAGCACGAAATACAAAACGAGCTAATGGACAATAGAGACGAGTCCAAAATAAAGATGCTAATTCTTTGTGAGCGACGAATGGATAATTTTCGGGTATAACTAATAAATAGAAAAACAAAATACATGAAAAAGATTTGTTTAATAAAATTCATATAAAAAAATTAGTATTGTCATATACACACATCCTAACAATCAAAAGTGAGATTAGATGAAAAATTCTCTTTGAATGGTTCGACGTTTTAGCAATAATATGTTTTCCTTTCGTTTTAAAATCAACTGGAGAGGTATATATCTAATAGAAGATATATATTCAAATTCATTTTCATAGAAAATTCAGATCATCTATTATACTCTCATTTTTTTTTCTAAATACATATTATGATTCGAACAAGCATTGAAAATTTTTTATCAATACGTTTCTAGTCAATTATGGGAATTTTTCTGGAAGTTTTGCATCTCATTCAATCTAAATTTAAGCATTTGTATTTTCGATTCCAAGAAAATATCGAAATAAATGAAACAAAAAGAAATCGCCAAACACCTTCAAAGAATTTTCTGAGTAATTAAATTCGTATTAGACTTACCAACTTCAACAACGTCATTAAATAATGCTTGTTCAAGTCGTATAGCTGATTGAACACTATCGTCAGTTCCAACAAAAAATATAGTTTGCACATTAATATTATATTTTTTATACTTTCCATTACGGCCCCATGTAGCACGAATTGCTTGACGGAAATCGAAATTAAGTCCCCGTGAAAGAACAATAAAAATCACGAACTTTTGTGTATCCTTTGGATAAATGCAAATTGATTTTGGTGGATTAATAAATCTTAAACGATCCAATATTGAATTATTTGTTTTATTTGATCCAAGAACTTTTTCACGAAGTAATTTTTCATTTATTTGTTTATCTGAAGTACTTAAACGATTTATATTGGTGATTGTACTATATGAAGAAAATTGATTTTGAGAATCATAATTATTAGAAACTAACAAGGTTTGAGTCGATTGAATTAAAGTTGGATGAATTTGAATACGTTTAATAAAAGAAACAGCCGAAAATAAAAATATTATACACGAAATTATTAAAAGAACATGAGTATAGAATGGTGACAACATGTTTTATGTAAGTATTTGTTGACTGGATTTTTTTGTCAATATATATTTTTTCATTTCTTTCTTTTTTCTGATTGTTCTCTTTTTTACTCATATGCTGCACACTCAAGCGTGAATAGAGTTGCCGTTTGGCCGACGACTGAGTATTGCATGACATATATAGATAGAAGTGCAAGATTCGAAATAAGTAAATGGTGGCTAATATACTATAACGTAGATAATAGATATATGTATTTATTTCGTATGCAAAGTACACATTTCAAGGATATCTTTTATTTTACTTTTAACAATGGTACGTTGTAGACAAAAAAAGAGAAGGTGATTGCATCATTTTCGTTTGGATGTTTTTTACTATTCATATTATATGTCATAAAAAAATATGGTCTACGAATTATTGAAAACTTCCTTTGTTCCATATTCTAGATACTTGACTGAAATATGCATATGAATATGATCAATAATGCAAAGTACTGTTAAAAATACAGAATCTGTTTTTTGGCAATATTATATCTGCTCTTCTAGAATTAAATTTTTTGGTTAAGATGTTTCTGCAAAACAGCATGATTCACTTTTCTTAAAATTATTCTGCCTTGTATTATTATAAAAGAAAGAAAAATGTTATGGTTTCAAATGGTGTTCTATAGAAAAGCTACAGGCTGTAAGTATAAGAAATATTCACTTCGGCCAGTACGCCAAGATTTTTAATCAATATAAGCTTGTTCCATCTTTTTCCATTGGTACAAAAGATCTTACTAAACTCCATAATTTTCAGTTCAGTGCTGATTCGATTATTGCTCACCGAGCTTGGAATGTTGGCTCTGGCAGAAAAATCGAACTGAATAAGCTTATGAATATACCACCGAAAATTACACCACTGATTCTTATGCAACGATCCGCATCTTCTATTTAATCTACATCTACAACCATTGATTGTAGTTCAACCGAATATCTCACTAATTTTGATTCAGTTAATGACACTCGAGACGAGCATAGTAAACATACATTCAAGTTACGTTTGTGTTGTTACGACGATAAGGGTTGCATCCGTAGATACCATCGTCAAGAAAATCTACTTCGGCACATTGCAATCGGTAATCATTTACGTCATGCTGAACAGTTGTGTACGATTTAGCCATGACATTGTACCATACAAAACTTGAAAAGGTTGAGATTGAACAATTATTATCACTCGAGCTCGAGAAGAACACGTTCAATCCGCAACAGTTTTCACATTTATCCCAACTTACCGAAGAATGAGCATTACCAGTGGAGTTCGTTGGCAATCAGCAGTAGTAGTATTTGAAGTGAAGAATGGTATTGACGAAAACACGGGTGAATTCAAATTCGTCGTATCAGAATTTCTCAGAGTCTCAACCGTACCGTCATTCTTCTCACGAGAAAAATATCGAAGCACATCACTGGTGATGAAGTCATCGCAGCACATCGTGTCGGAACGAGATGTCAAAGCAAGAATGACACAATCGCAAGAGTAGTCAGGGGGAAAATAGGATGATACGTCAGAAAATGACGATAACAATTACAATAACGTTGATGATGAAGAAGTTTATCATGATCAATTGAATATGGATATTGAATTCTAACGGGATAGAATTATAAAAGCGAATACGTCAAAACGACCATTTTCTGCCATTCAGAACGGATCTTTTTCTCAACAACAGAAATCTCCACGTTTTACAAAGAAAGACAGATAAGAAAAAAGCTAATTATTCGTTTGAAAACAAAATTCATAGTTCTATCATTATCTTTTGAAAGTAAATAGGGTGGACAAGAATATAAAAGAATGCATATGATATAGAAGATAGAATATGAAACCTTTAGACAATTATTTTCATTAAATTTTCTACCTTGTATAATTCATCAGCCAAGATCAGACTGACTATTGAGGATCATTCAAAACAATATATTCATTGAAAGTCTACAAAGATACTTAGATAGTGGTTTTTTCTAACGTAGGATATGGAGTCGCGAATAACTTTAACTTCATTTTCTGATTATTTCTGGTAATTGATAAACATATCAACCAAAATGTGCACTGTAGCGTATTTCAAAGATTTTCCTTTAGGCAACAATTCATCAATCATATATTTGTGTCGATTCAAACGACCTGTTTCGCAACTTTTTTAATATTGATCTTAGACTCATTTTGAAGTTTTTCGATTGCTCTATCTGTTGCACGAATAAAAGGCGTAGGGTCATCAAATTAAGACCATAAATTTTAGAAGATATATTGAAAAAAACGCTGAGAAAAGATTACATTTTTCATCAGAAAAAAGTGTGATATTTGACTTTTTATCACTTAATGAAACAAAAGATAGGGATATGAATTATGCAGTTTTGTAGAGTGAGTTTTGCTCTACAAAATAGTATATAATACAAATATTAATTGATAAATTTTAGTAGAAATTTAAGACCGAAACTAGAAACCCAAAACCATTCATTTATTATTTCATTCATGGCAAGAGTGACTAAGAATGTGACGCCTATAACTCTTGATAAATTTG